TGTTCTATTCACGTTCAGAGCTGGCATTTGTGCTGTTGCTGTGCCAGCCTCCACCATGGTGACAGGCCCTTTCTAGGATTTTTGATGAGATGGGAAGCATGACAAGTTCAGACTATCAGTTCAGTTTAAAGCCCACAAATCTATGCACAGCAGGGGTAAGATCTATTTATTGTGAGCCTAGGAGCTATTTTCTGTGGAGGATGAGCTTAGTTTGTGCTGGAGAACAGCTGTTTATCAGGATCAAGTTTCTGGGAGGGAGTGTTCCTTGGCCATCTCAACCTGGGAAATGGCCTTGTGATGCTTTACAAGAAAAGGAACACAAACTACATTCTTTGTTCAAAAAAAGAACAAAACCAACAAAAATGAAATGCACGAGTTTATAAAGGGATTTTTTAGATGAACAAAAGGCATTGAGGCCGAATAAAAAAACAGCACAAAACCTTTGATATGTTCCTTCGGGAGAATTAAACCAGATGTTTTCCCTTTTCCAATGGGCCAGCATCTGACATTTCCAAAGAAGACACAAAGAACATTTCTGGGATGTGTATTAGAAAAAGTTCTGCTTGCAGCTTATCAGCTTGAAGGAAAACTGAAGGCAGAATCATCTCAGAATTATGTCTGGTCACATTTACACTCAAGAAAAGGCATGGAAAGAAGTACCAGTGTGAGGAGGAGCAAAACAAATTTCAAGGTGATTCTCACTGATGGCATCAAAGGCAGAACAAAGCCCTCCACACTGGGTAGAGACAACTCTGAGGTCTTTTGTATGGCCTTTTATAGAAAAGGAACCATAATCATGTGTTTTGTTTGCAAGGATCAGACACAGCCTGGATTTTGCATATTAATATATGTGAATTTCTGCAATTTGCTCACAAAATCCTTCTCTGGTAAAGTTTTGCAGCCAACGTATCCATGGTGGCCGCAGAATGCAGGGAAGGAAAACAATAGCAATTAGGGTTTTTTTCTTTCCTATTTTCCCCACCTAGCTGTTTTGCATAAGGACACACAGATGGGGCAGGACGAGGTTTGGAATCTCGGTGAGGGGGATTTGCCAACACTCATTTGACCAACGTGCCCTTTTGTACTGCTGAGGTTAAACCCCTGCCAGAAATGTCCTCCACGATCACCACTAACAGTTACTAATTTGGAGTTCAGAGTGCTCTGCTCTGCCATCCATAGCAGCATTCCCACAGTCTTCCAGCCAGGTACATCTCTAGTTACAATAATTGTCTTTCAGTTGGGGAGCTGACTGACTATACTGCCGCAAGTATGGAATAAATCATGTTACTATGGTAGCCAAGGTTTTTGGAAAACAGCATTTCCCAAAGCACAAATGCCATTTCTCTGAATTTTGCTTCTTTTCCTGAAAATATCATCCCAGAATTGTGAGAGGTTTGAAGTTGGGTTTCGCTGTTTTCCAACATGAGTTCTGCAGCAAGCTGGACGCTGCTTTTCAGGTTTATTTATTTATTTGGTTTAACCTTCATGATGTTGACAAAATCCAGGTGCATGGATATCTTATATACTCAAGCTAATTACTGCTGAGACTGACATCTGAGAAGGATATTTGAAGGAACAAGACAAAACACAGTCAAAACTTGACCTTGAAACATGAGAAATGAGTCCAAAGGATGGCATCGGGCTTGGAGGCTTCTCAGCCTCCAAGGATTGGGGGCCAAGGTCTAGGTCTGAGCTCTGGATTTATCTGTGCTAACAGGAGCACTTGGCACTGAGGCCAGACTTTTACCCAAGGGACTCTGCTAAATTTAAGGTGGTTGAGCACAGCCTTCCCTGGACGTGGTGCATCCATCACAATGTTCTTGTCCAGTGAATCACGGCACAAACAGGGTACCAGAGATCACATCCTCAAAACCATTCTTGGTTAAACTGTGATGTTAATTTTGTCTCTCTTCTTCTAAGCCACCGGTACATCTACAAGTGTTTTAACAAAGTATTTTGTTTCTCACTTCCCAGAATACCAAGTGCATTTCATAACACAGCTGTTGCAAATGTTATGGCTCTGTACACTTCATGTGTTAGTCTTGCCTGTGTTTCCCTTCTCTGAATTGTATTTAATAGGCCAAGTTTTATATTTCTCTACTAATTTGTTGAAATTTATTGCATTTGTTGCCTTCCCCTCTTTCTTTTGAAAATCAGGGGAACTTCCAAATTTCAATTTGAAAGCATTTTGTTTTTATGGAGCATAGTATTTGTTGGAGGGAGAAGAGTTGAGATCATAATCTGGCACAGTTGACTAAGTTTCTAAATTTTAAACCACCGCCTTCTCCCTTTTTAAACATTTTCTCTGCCAATACTAAACATTTTGATCATTCAAAATGTAAATTGTACTCCCCATAGATGCTGATGGGTTGAGGATATATTTACATACAAAGGAGCTGTTGAATGACTCACGCAAAAACTCATTTTTTGTTCTCATTCTTAACAGTACAGCAGATTTTTTCCCCCATTTTCTGGTTTCCGGAATGATCTGTGTCTCTGGGCAGTGTTTGAAAAGGTGCATGTGGTTAAAATGTGTGCAGTGGAGAACCACAAATGATTTAAATATTTTTTTCCAGAGGAGCTCGTGATAGACACTGTCCATGGGTTGCGTTGTGTTACAAGGGAAAAAACACCCAGATCAGAGCCTGAGGGCAGTGGTGGTCAAAGGAAAGAAAACTCCCTGATTTCTTGGGGTGAGGAGGAGCAAGCAGGGGTTTAGCCAGAATGTGAGAGCCAGTTTTGGGCTGGGTAAGATGTTCTCAAGGCAGTTAGCACTTTATAACAGCAGTGATGCTAGAGCTGGGTGTGTGCTGTAGGACCCCAGTGATGGTATCTGCATCTCCTCATGGAGCAGCATTCTGTGGGAGAAGTGTCACTTGGTTTTCCCATGCCCATATGCCTGCTGGGCTTGGGCCCTGGCACAGATTCCCCTGGCAGGAGGAAGGAGCCATTCCTTTGGAACACTCGTTTGAGCCTGCTTGTGTTTGGGAAGGCAGAGCAGGAGCTCTGGAAAGCCCCAAGCTTCTGTACATCTCCTGGGCAGCATTTCAAGCTGTGCCTGGAACACGTTTGCACTGCTCAGGGCTGGGATCCTCTCCTGAGGCCCATAAGAAACCCTGGGGCTGTAACTGGCCATAACTGAGATCACCATGGCAGATTGTCTCAGCTCTCCTTGCTCTCCTCAGACCTATCCAAATATCAGCCCAGTACTGTCACATCAGTTGTGGATGGCCCAGGCTGTTCATCAGCTATTTATAGAATTACTCTATTAACAACTTCGTTTTATCCACTTGATAATAATGCTTGAATCTGAGGAGTGTATATTCCAGTCTTCCTTGCTCACTTCTCTGACTTATTTACTGACTTCCACCTTGATTTTTTTCTGTTAATCTGGAGCCCAGTCAAGAGGACACTATAAGAGATGCAGATGTGATTTTGATCATCTCCACAGGGGCTGCACCACTCTCCTCCACCTCCCTCACAGCTTTCCACTGCCTGTTCTTTGTGTGACCTATGCATTGACTTGGGCTCTATTATTCACTTCAGAACTGATGATGTTTGTGTTAAGTCTTAAACACGGGGTCAGGGGGTAGTTTAAAGCCTTTTCAGATTGTGTGACCTCTCCTAGCAAACTTTGAAGGGCAGTTGTTGACCAGCCCTGGCACTATTTGCTCTGCAAGGAAGCAAGTCTGTAAAAAGGCTTATTACACAATGTAAGTGATTTTCTTTTTGCTAAGCAAATATTTGCAATATGTTTTGGGAGATCAAGCATTCAAAGTGAAAAAGCAGGATACCTGCCAGGGATGTGGGAAGCACATAAATGACACCTCTAATTGGGAGAACATGGGCTGGTTTTAGTGTCTTGGCTCTACAAGGAAGCCAACACAGGTTCCTGCCCTGATTTTCATTGAGCTCTAAGGCTTTAGGCATCCCAAAAAATCTGGAAAACTTTTTCCCAAATTGTCTTTACTTCAACAGCTTCACTCATTATTCTTGCAAAAGCCAAGGTGCTGTGGAACAAGGACAAATCCTATGAATTTAACAAATGAGCAAGGTCCTAATATGGGGCTTTCCTAGAGGGTAGTTTATTTTATAAATGCCTGCAGTAACTAACAATGCCCAGTTATGGAGAGTGTGTCACCATCTGGATGACTGCTCACAGCTGGTATCATAATTTTTGGATCATTCCTTTGGCTTGAATCGAAGTTGCAAAGACAGTATGTGGCTTAAACTAGCTGGCTCAGGAGCAGCAGATCAACTCCAGTCAACATCTAACTTCCACATGTGCATCTCTGCCTGTGCTGTGCTATTGACAGGAGCCTCGATTTATGTGCATGCAGTTTATAAACAGCAAGAATACTGGAAATGAGGTAATATTTTGTATAAACATTTATTTTATAGTTTAAGAACAAGCCATTCAAAACATCTGGAAATCACAAGAACATGAGTAATATATAATAGCAATATCTTAAATATGCATTAGTAATATAAAGTCATCTTTCACTCTGATAGTTACAACTTCATTTTTCTAAAAAGTATTTAAGACATGAAATATGTTTAGGTAATACATATATACAGCATCTAATTTTCTCTCCTCTTTCGACTGGAGTCTGAGACTCCAGAGGTTTCTGTGATGGAAACAATGTGCTACAACTTGAAGGCTGGATTGGTTTGGATTGTATATGCAGAACTAGGCAAATAATTTACACCCATCATGGCTCTGTGTGCATGTAAGTGACAGAACAGGGGTTTCAGACCCTGTGCATGTGCACTCCCACAGCTGCTCACCTATTCACAACAACCGATGTAGTTATAAATCATTAGGTCTGGAGTTATTTCTAGAATGTCTCTGTATCTATATCCTAACTAAGCTATGACCTACTTTCATTATAACCCCCTGCCCATCAGTGTGCTGTTATGCTTCCAGTGGTGATTTGGTAAAATGTGTTTGCCTTGTCTTAGTGTGTGCGAATTGATAAATAATTGTGGGTTTGACCAGCTTAGAGCTGCTTTATCCTCATCTCTAAGGCAAGCAATTCCCTTTCTATTTCATAGGGAAGGTCAGCATTAACTTGCACTTCAAAGTACTGCTTGATTTCTTCTACCTCCTTTTCCCAGAAATCTTTTGAGATATCAAACAGTTCGGTCAGGTTGATGTCCTCTAAACCTTTCAAGTTCAAAGCAGCATCAGTGGGGATGTAACCTATGGCAGTGGGTTTGGCAGAGGCTTTCCCTTCAATCCTGTTGAACATCCACTCCAGCACACGGGAATTCTCCCCGAAGCCAGGCCACAGGAATTTCCCTTGGCTGTCTTTGCGGAACCAATTCACGTGGAAGATCCTGGGCAGCTTTGCAGCTGGACGATGGGCCATGCTCAGCCAGTGGGCCAAGTACTTGCCAAAGTTGTAGCCAAAGAAAGGCCTCATGGCAAATGGATCGTGCATAATGACCTTGCCTGTTTGAAACACAGAAGGAGAAGGTAAGGGAATCAATAGCAGATTTATTCTAAAGCACAAAGGTTCAGATCCCCCCAGGGTTTACCCACGATCCCTTCACCACCCTTGTGAGCTTTAAGAAACAACACAAGCATTATCCTTGATGGATAAAAGGTACAAATGAAATTAGTTTTTGTTATTAAATTTCTTAAATCTCAGGTCAGGCAGCTTAAATGAAGATTCTCAAGAGATGGCTATCATTCATGCATTTATGTTGAGCTCTAGAAGAAGAGAAAATTTAAATTTGTTTATCCCAGACTGTAACAAGAACTCTCTGTCAAGGCCTCTGGCAACCCTGTGCCTGCATCCTGTTCTGTATGCTTGCCACTTAAGGGATTATTTTGCTTAATTTGACTTTTACAGAGAATTTGGCCGTTAATTCCAGTACAAATATTTTCTATTGTGAAAATGCACAGGTTGCAAAATTAGCTGCCAAGACTGAAATGTGAAAGAGCAGGGGGAAGGAGAGGGCAGGCAGTCCAGAGGGGCCTGCTTTTAATACAGGTAGGCAGATTAAATTTTGATTTACCTTTGTGCTCAGCAGCTGCTGTTGCTTCAGATCTCATGGCTGCTCCTACAAACACTCCATGCTTCCAGTTAAAGGCCTCATATACAAGAGGGACACCTATAAAGAACAAAATCACTTCAGTAATTAGAGGTCCAGAAACATTTTTATGACAGGTTTTGCCATCTGACATAGTGCTGAACACACGTTACTGGATAATGTATTATAATTTTTCCTGGGTTTTTAAAATCAGTTCATTTCCTGCTCTCTTACAGCAAAGAAGTTTAAATGAATGTTTTCAAAACTGGCTCTTGATTACTGAACACATCCAGTGGGAGATACCTGGGACATCAGAATCTCCAGCAGATTTTAGTGGAAATAGAATCTGATCCTGTGGTCATATTAGATTCAGATCTAGCATTACTTCTATTTCTTTTCCAACTTTAGGTGACCTTTAGCAAAAAAAATTATTTTACTTCCTTTTCTTTAAACTGTCTAAAACTGATTAATTTCTCTAACCATTTGCTGGCTGAACTACAGGCAAATTGAGACCAATGTAGAAATTTTCTATGTGTCTGCTACCCGTGTTAGTGGGTCCTGATCTCCCTCCAGCCCTTTATTATTATTATTATTACCTGTTTTGTGTTTACATCAAACACCTCAGACACTGAAACACCAGTGGCTGGAAGCGTGTGTGCCAAAGACTAACACAGAGGAATTGGACTAACGTGGTTATTTCCTTGCTTTTGCAGCTGTGAAAGCAAAAGCTGTGGCTATGCCCAGCTGTGTGTCAACCCTTCTGTGGCCAGCCTGGAAGTGTGGCTGCTGCATCTCTTACCAGCTGGTCTGCGGCCTCCAAAGATGATCCCTTCGATGGGAACGCCCTCGGGAGACTCCCAGGCTGGATCCATGATGGGGCACTGCCTGGCTGGGGAGCAGAACCTGGAGTTGGGGTGAGCACAAGGTTCTCCTGCACAGAGCAACACAACAAAACAGAATTAATTTGAGTTTATTCATTGATTCCAAAGAAAGCCAAAGAGAGGGCCACGGGGTGGGCCGGGTACCGTTGTCTGGGGTCCAATCCTTGTTCTTCCACGAGGTCACTGTCACTCCAGCTGGCAGGGGCTCATCAATGCCTTCCCAGTAAACACCTCCATCACTGGTTTCTGCCACGTTGGTGAAGATGGTGTTCTTGAATATGGTTTTAATAGCATTGGGGTTTGTTTTGACTGAGGTTCCAGGGGCAACACCAAAAAAGCCATTTTCAGGATTGATTGCCCTTAAGTTGCCTGGAAGTTAAATGATAAAATATCAGTGAACCATACTGGTTTAATTCTATCCAGAAGTTTGTAGCATGTCTTACTGCACCTACAGCAACCTGAAAAACATTCCAATTTTATTTCCATACCTTGTTCATCAAACTTCATCCAGGCAATATCATCACCCACACACTCAATTTTCCATCCTGGCAAGCTTGGGTTCATCATGGCCAAGTTAGTTTTGCCACATGCACTAGGGAATGCTGCAGCAAAGTACTTCTTTTTACCTTCTGGATTGGTAATTCCCAGGATCTATTGAAAAATTAATGCAGCTGTTAAACAAAGCCTTTTTTTTCTTGCGCTTTTCATTTTGGAGATTGTCTCCCAGCAAGTGGAAATGATAAAATATTTAATTAGGCAAATTTGTTCCTACAGAAGAAGCACCACATAATATTGTTGACAAATAACTCAAGCTGTATTTTTAAAATCAGAGTCAACTCTTCTTCCCATTAGAATATCTAAGAAATTCTTATATTTTTAAAAAATGATGTCGGTATATAATAAACATTTCTTTTTATTTTGCTGATTAAAGACCATATACATCTGTGTTTCTCTGTCAAGACAGAAGAAAACCAGGCAATATTCTTCTGGCTGCATAAGTGGAGTGAAAGGAAAGCACTTTGTGCATGGATTCTTCTGCTCTTTTCAAAGACCACAGATATTTTTTCCTAAGGCTGCTCTCTTATGCACTTTGACATTGTTTTTTTCAGTGGTATTTTATGGCGGTAGAATGTTTAAAGGACAGCAGAAATTAAAGCCAGGAAGGTTACACAGCACAACTCCCTTAGAAAATCTGATATTTGCAGGTTTTTGAGTACAAGAAGTCACTCTCAGACGTTCCAAACTTTGCTTGTTTTATACCATGACAGGTCCTATTTTAAATGTTTAGTACTTGGCCTTGCAAGCAGTTTTCTATTCCCCATGAGCCTGGCACATAACAGATTCCTATCTAAAGTTACAGAACTATCCATATGAGACTAATTCCATTGATGGCCAGGCGGGTGATGGATTTATGTGGCTCTAATTTGAGGTTTAACGGCTGTTCAAACACACAAGATTTAACAGCATAGATTCTTACCAGCATGTGCTCTGCCAGCCAGCCCTCCTCCTTGGCCAGTCTGCTGGCAATCCGGAGAGCAAAGCATTTCTTCCCCAGCAAGGAGTTCCCTCCATAGCCGCTGCCAAAAGAAATGATCTCCCTGCGATCCGGGAGATGAGCAATCAGCGTCAGCTCCGGGTTGCACGGCCAGTTGTTGATTAATGGCTCTGCAGAACAGAATGTTGTAGTCATGAATGCAGCAATTTCCATGCTTGATCACGCTGTTGTTTCATCAGCATCGAGCCTCTGACAGCAACCCAGAGCATATGCTTCAAGGAAATCCCTGGTAAGTACTAGGGATAATGATCTCCTTTCCATCAAACTCTCACTGGGCTTTGATTCCTTGAACTGAGTTTTGTACCTAGTGCTGTTACAAAACCACCCCAAACTTCTGTGGTGAGAGTGTCCCACGTGCTGAGGACACGCACTCAGCTCCAAAACACAGCCCTGGGCATTTCCAGGGGTTTTTAATGGCTCCTGGGGTTTTTTATGGCTCCTGGGTTTTTAACGGCTCTTACCTTTCAGCGGCAGAGGGCATCCAACTGAGTGAAGGCATTTTACAAACTCCCCATTGCCCAGGGCTTTCAAAACATCTGTTCCTATCCGTGTCATGATCCTCATGCTGGCCACTACATAGGGTGAATCCGTCAGCTCGATCCCAATCTTGGACAGAGGTGACCCAATGGGCCCCATGCTGAAAGGGATCACATACATCGTACGTCCTGGAAAACAGGGAGTAGCAAGATGTGGCCAAGAGCAAAACAAAGAACATTTGAAGTAACCTTTATAAACCTGGAGGTTGTTTCTCAGTCCTTTAAAAGCTGTTTGTCTTGTGACAGCTTCTGATGATGTTTAAAGAGCTGCAGCTTTCTGTTTGTCTAATTGTGTAGCAAGAAGTTTTATCTTAAATGCTGAAAGCAGCAGTTCAGACAGATTGTCTAGCCAGGAGGAAGGGGAGGTGAAGGCCAAGTTCTCTGTTAGTGTAAATCCCTGAATCTGAAATTCTTGCTGTGGATGAGAGGACCTTCATTCTCATCTCACTTCCTATCTGTTCCTCAGTTGCTGTGTGACTTCTGAACCAAGTCACACTAATTTTTGTACTTTGCCCCTCTCGAGGAAAACAAGAGTGCTGGAAAGAGACTGAGGACTGTCTTTGCCCAGGTATTTGGGTCTATGGTAAAGATCTGCATGAAACCAGTGAAGTGACTATCTGGAGGATAAAGCTAAATCTTCAGCTAAAACCGTTCTTTAAAGATTTTCAGTAACTTGCAACAGTAGTAAGTGTCTCAGCATTGCTGAAAGTTCAGTGTCAATTATCTTTTTCTTGCCTACCTTGCATGCAGCCTGGGAACCTGGTGTTGAAAGCTTTCTCAAAATCTTCCTCAGACATCCAGCGTCCCAGCTGGCTGGTTCCAGTTTTAGGTATTGGAGTGGTATCTCTCTGCTCTTGAGTGATGATGACAGTTTTGCTCTCAATTCTTGCCACATCTCTTGGATCAGTGAGAGCCAACCAGCTGCATTTCACCAAAAAACCAGGGAATTAGACTTTAATTATCAATATAGCATTTTTACCCTCCTGTGGGTCCACTTTAGCACAAAAGGCTGCTAAAACAATGCTTTGTAAGTCAAAAATTAGTGACAAAGCAGTATAACAAGCTAACCTCAAAAATCAGTCAGATAACGCAATTTTATCAGAGAATATAAGACTTTCCAGTAATAATAAAAAAATCATATGGCCTAGGAAATTCTTGTTACATGTTAATACTCCTTTGCCCCTTATCTCAGCCTTATTCTCTGTTGTTAACTTTCAGGGAAAAGTTAATCTTGTTTAATTCTCATTCTCATCAGTGTGAAGTTGTTTTGTATGGGGACCGCAAAATGATGCCTCAAACTAAGTGGATGCCAAGGAAAGTAGTTTAAGTGTTGGTATAAGTGCCAGAGGGATCAGAACCCAGCTTAGTGGATTGGCATAGTCCCTTAAATTAGAGGCATCACAAAGGAAATACTGAGTATAAGCACGATCATTAAAAGTGAAGGAGTTCATTAAAGGGGATTCTTTTTCACCTCTAAGGAATTTTTTGCCATCTATTTACGATAGAGGGGATTGTTTTACATTTTCACCTCTGTGCATCGAAATTTTCCACGAGTATAAAAATGTTCTAGTTGGGCTGTCATAACCGTCATCACTACAGCTAAGCATATAATTAACAATGAATAATTTATCTGGTGAATCTTGCCCTTTTCTCTCCCAAATAGTCTGCAAACAGATTGCCAAATTCCTGCACTTAGTTATTCAAAAGTCTTTGCAGATTTCTCCCATGAAGATCTCGTGGTTGGCACGTAATTCTCGAGTATGCACTTGTTGTTAATATTCTCCTTTCACGTTCAGTTAGTTGGGAGAAATTATGAAATATTTGAAAAAAGTATTTGCAGAATACATTAGAGTCAAAGCTCATCGGCACGATATGAATAATGCCTGTACTGAATAATATTTGAACACCCACAGACCTATTTGAATGCCACAAAAAAGTATGTGATGAATAAACTAATTGGCTAAAATAGTAGAATTCTTCAAAAGAAGATTTGCTCAATAATATTTAGCCGTTGCTAATGATAAGTTGCCTAAGTCTCATGACATTATTTCAGTTCCCTGATGTAACTAATCAACAGAGAAAATGTACAGTTGATAGTCCAACTGAATAATATGTTTTATCTAATTTTTAGAGGAAAAAGTTTGCCTTTCCTGAGTATTTCACCTATGTAAGCTAAAGTTCCAAAATGTTCATGGAAAGCAAACATTGGAGAGTTATAAGAAGTTTTTAAAGTAAACAGGATAGAAAATGAATTTTCCAATTCTGAGATGATACTTGACTTCATTTAGGCTACTCACCAGTTCTCATACTTGTTCAGCTTCTTGATCATGCCTTGTTCTACCATGATGTCCAGAAGTTTCTTGTTCTCTTCTTCCGAGCCATCGCAGATGTGGATGCACTCAGGCTGGCACAGCTTGGCATTGGTCTCGATGAAATCCCTGGCTTCAGGAGACAGACTCTCCCAATCCCCCTGCACAACCTTGGGCATGACGTTCATGTCGGCTTTCAGCTGTGGGGGCATTATTGAGGCTGCTGTGGTTCTTGTTGATGGCTGTAAAATACTGATCACAATGGAAAAGCAAATAGATTAGGTGTGTTAGCTTAGCTACGTTCTAAACAGCGTCACAAAGCCTAACAACATGTAACGCAAAGAATTTGCAATGGACTTGATTATGTACTGCTTTAAAATCAAGGTAGGGAATTTGGATCAAGGTGGAAAAAATAGAGGCCATTCTACTAATTTAAGATGGAAAAATAGAGGCCATTCTACTTACTGTCTATGGAAGCTGGAGCTGGATGCCAGAGAGGACTTTGCTGTACCTCTCAGTTGAGCCCGTTTCTCTTGCTTTGGAGCTCTTTTGCAATTGCTGCTTTCCAAGGATGCACCTCCTTCCTTAAATATTCTTCATGGTAGTGTCCATCCCACCAGTTGAGGTGAAGGAGGCTTGGCCTTTACATCACCACTGGATGTGTCTTGGGACAGTGCCACTGACATTGTCATCATGCAGAGTTGTCAACAAAGCAGCCCTGGCAGGGTAATCATTTAACAGGCTTGATTAATGAATGCTGAAAGCGGAGGTTCTTAGCCCCTGTTTTGAAGCAGTTACAAAACTTAGCAGTTTAACCAAACTTTGATCCATTTTGGCTTTGAAATCAAAAACGTCATAACTTCTCGGCGTGTGGGAAAGGTTGAGTACAAAGAGTTTCTGGAACCAGGAACACGGAGGTCATGCACAGAGGCAAAGTGCAGTTGGCACATTTTGCAGGCAGATGGTCACTAGCTGGCTGTGAAGTGGAGGCTCGTCCAAGGGGTGTTTACTCACCTTGGGAACATTGCCTGATCTGGGTATAAAGTTCAACAGAGAGCACTGACAGGCCTGAATAACCACTACGTAAGGCCCACAGCTCTTATTTTTGTCTATGCAGTTCTAAAAACATCCCTAGCAGTATAAATCTAAGTGTTGGGGTTCCTTCAGTGCAGGCAAGGAAGTTTTTGTTTATGGCTTGTTTTAGGCTCTTGCAAATGAAAGTTATTTCCTATCGCTACAACCTCAGAAGAGGCAGAGTGGCAACTGTCTCAATAATTAACCTCCTCTTTCAAATATTATGTTTTATTTTACTGGGAGTTCTGTGGGGGCAAGGTGTCATAAAAGATTAACCCATCCCTAAATTAGTACTCAGAGCAAAAGCACAGAACTGCTCAGGACTGGGGCTGCACACTATTGTTCTGTGGGTGAAGTGCACTGTGTGCATGTGCACACACACAGACCTGAGTCTGCATCTGTTTCAGCTGTGGCACTATCTGCTATCAACAGCCACTACTACTCTTATAATTCTGAGGGTTATCTCAGTGTGATATCAGACACTTGAGTGTCATCTCAGACACTTTGAGCTCATCTCTGTTTCTGCATGCCTGTCTTTAGCTTCCCCTATTCCGTTTTAGACAATTGTGGCCATAAAGAAAGGTGGTCTTCAAGTCTATTTGTCCATGCAGTCTGGGTGTGTGAAGACTGAAGTATTTCAGACAAATAGAACTGTAGAAACAGCCCTGCTGCCATTTCCTCTCCCTCTATTTATACCCAGTCTTAGCAAAGCATCTGGAGCCTGGATAAGGTGATGCATTTGTGCCAACTTGTGACTTTTTTCTATTGATGGGGTTCTTACCATGGTTGTCATTGGTAGTTTGCAGAACAGGAAATCTGGGATTCCCAGCTAAGTTTCAGGGAGTTCTGAAAAGCAACAAAATTGACTTATCTTGTATAAAGGGCGTTCACAACCCAGCAGTTGCTCAGGTTTGTGAGGCAGTGGGTTGTTCCCAGCAAGGTTCTTGCAGGGGCAGCCAGCAGTGACTTGCAGCCCCCCAAAAAGCCAGGCTGGCAGAGCAGCAGGGATCAGGACTGTAGCTCACCTTCCCACCTGCAAGTCTAAAATACTGCAGAGCTGACTCTCTCTCTGCAGGAACACCCTCTGGGACTGCACCCTCTATCTCCCTTGCAAAGCCTTTTATTGTGTTTTGTAAATAAGGGAAGAAAACAGTGAGGTAAGAGGGGCTGTCCTTGATGCATGGCAAGGCCAAACATTCCTGAAAAGGAAAACAAAAATCTGGTGGGATAAGAGGTGCTAAAGACTGCTCCAGATAGGGCTGTGATATAAGCAAAGATAAAATCCCAAAGCAATTTAATAATGGCAAAGCTGGTGTTTTTCTTAAGAGTCCACATACTGTGTTGCTGGTGGAGCTGATGAGAAATATTTTCCTTTTAAAACATGTCATAAAGTACCTTCATTAAAAATAAAATTGAGCATAATCTGTAGTAATACTAAGCAGAGCCCTTTTCCAGAGAAGTACAAAAATACTGAGTGCTTTTTGTTGGCCAGGTAAGTCAGTGTACATAGAAATAACTGAGAGTAAGCCAGCAATGCTCAGTTGTCAGGAAGAGAGTAGACCAGGAAATTATCATATTGCAGCACAAATAAAATCAGAATAAAATCTTACATAAAACAGTGTAATACAGCAGAATCAGTCCTCGTGTCTCTAGGTTTTGAGAGGAATAAAAAAATTCCCAAACCCAGAGCATTAATTTCTGCCAATTAAATTACAGTCAGGCAGGTGTTGTGCAAATTTTCTAGCACTGCAATCCTAACCTCCCACAATCTTGCTATACAAACTGTGGGCTTCTCTTGAGAAGACACTAAATATGCCAAATTGGTGGCACTGTGTTATGAACATATGTCCATTAAAAATCACATTAAGGATTCCAAATGTTTTTCATTTGTGATGGCAGCAGGGCTCGAGTACAGATGTCCACTGGGAATTCTAGACACTTCAGCATCAAATTACTTGTATTTAGGTAACACCTCCCATCAGAGGATCTCAAAGCATATCACAAACACACAGTAAGTCTAAAGCCCCTATATAAAACACACATAGTATTTGGTGCAGTGAAATAACTGGAGCATATGCAAATCAAGGCCAGGATTTTTTTCAAGAATCTTCTCATTTAGAGATTCAGCTTTTAGAAAGCCAACAGAAGGCATTAAAGGTTTTATGTGAAGACAGTGAATTCTCATAACACCCACTGTCTCCCACACAAAAACCCAGATGTAGCACTTGCAATGGCTCAGTTTCAGTGGTCTTGAAGTGTCACCCAGTACCAGTGGGTGCTGCTGTCAGGACTCAGTTTCTGGAAAATTTCACAAATGGCAAACATAGGAGGTGGTATGGGGAAATGGAAGGCCTTTTAAAAAATAGTTGTCTTGAATGTAAAGTTTATTTTCCATTTAAATGAGAAGCCTTTTTTAGTAGTAACTGCATTATAATGCTCATCTAATAGCTGATACGATTTCTTCTGATTGAACTTTTTTTGGCACTTTTTCTCTGTGCTTCTTGACACTTGAATGTGATGCTTATCAGGTGCCTTCTTGGAAGCTGTCAAATCATTTAAATGTGTGTGAATCTGACATTTCAAGATGACAGTGTTCAACAAGTGCCTTGAAAGGAGGGGTTTTAGGATGTTTGCTTTGATGGACACCATTCAGGTTGCTCAAAACAGAAGTTTTTCAGCACTTCAGGCTTTTCAGACTTACTAGAACTCAGTAAATGTAAAGGTTTTTAGATGCTCAAAAAAAGTGTCAGAAAAAGGAAGCTTAACTCATCACTACAAACCAAGGTGCAACAAAGCACTCAGAGTGAGATCTGAAAGTTGTTAATGGCATATAATAATACTCAGAAATTCTACTTCCCTCCCATTGCTAATTCTCCTACATATTGTCACCTCCAAGGAGTTTGTCACTTGGGTATTTTGCTATAAAATTGTAGGTTTTTTAAAGATTCTCTGAGCTGCTCTACCAAGGGAAGAGCACTGCCTCTGGATTGCTGTTTCTGTGGTGTTTTGCTCAGCTGACACTGAGCACTCTCTGACAGCTGCTGGACTGCATGCCACAGAGTCCAGACCCAAGGGCAGCCCTTGCAAGCTCAGAGAGAGCAGGGCAGGGATCGTTCTCTCAATTTCCAAAGGAAAACGTGAACCGTGCAAATTGCCTGAGGTTGCAAAAGCGCCTGTGAGGGAGCCAAGGGCTCGTTCCAGACCCTGCACGGTGCCGGGCACATTTCTGCCCCACAGCCCCTCTCTGGCAGCAGCTCCTCAGCACTGACCCACCTGCAGCAGGGCTGGGGGCCCTGCCACGTGTGCCACGCTCCCCTCCACGTGTGAGCCCTGAGACTGAGCCTCTGCCACCGGCCACAACAGGTAGCAGCGAGCTGGGGGCACCGCGCTTTGCCTCCTGCTCACCTCCCTTCCAACCCTAATCCATACAGGATTGGGCAGATTGTAAAATATGCTGTTTGTGGATCCCTACAAAAGGCAATGTGTTTTTTTTGGCCAGTGTTCAAAATGAAGTGGATTGTTCTGATGGTGGAGGAGTGGAAAAAAATACCCAGATTTATCATGATTAGACTGGAGATGGGATTGAGACATGTAATTTTAACTTTATAAGCAGTCACTCCTCTGGAGCCATTTCTTGAGGTGTGACTCTAATCTGGGGACTCTTCCCTAAAGGAATGCTGTTATTTTTCCAAAAAAAGCCTGTCAAGGATCAGTGTATGTGAGTAATAGGCTCTGTAGGCACCGGCACCTGACCAGTGGCCAGGTATGTGTAATTCTGGTAGTTTGAGAGCCCTTCTCTGCAGTAGGTCTCAGTCATGTGGAGAGTTTGGGCCCACCAAGACTTTGATTTTTACCCTAGCCACAACAGAATTATGATTTTTGCATGATTACTGCAGGATTTTTTTGCTGGATGAACAGCAGAACCACAGCCAGAAGAGAAGGGGACAATCATACTAACCAGAGTGAAAAACAGTCAGCAAAAGGTTTGTGTTCCCTTTACCCTTCAGCATCTGCTCTGCTCAGTCCCACAAAACCCAAATGGCTCCAAATCCAGTTTGCAAATAAAAATGGTTACCCTTGCTGGGGTGAAATCTCTTTACCACAGAGGTGTGTGCTTGCAGCTGTCAAGGACTTCCTGCTTCCTACTTGAGTA